ACACGGGCATGGGCTTCTGAACTCAAAACGCAGGCCTTTCTGGAGTGGAAGGAAGAAGCAGCAGAAGCTGAAGCAAGGCCTCCTATGGCTCAGGTTGCAGGATGGAGGGAAGTCAGCACTGTGGTGTCTGCTGCAAAGATGGCCCATTTCACAAGCTCAGGTTTTGCTGCTAGAAGATCCTACTTTGGGCTTGCTGGAGCCCATTCCCTACCAATACATGGCCCCTCATTGTTCTTGGATCGAGTGTTCTGGACCCATGGGAACACGTGTGCCCTCTGTCCATGCCAGAGCAGCAACTGGCAGAACACATCTGCTTCCAGCCCTTGTCTTGGCTGCTCCTTCCAGTGGGGTGGCACCTTAATCAGAGACACGGAACAGGTTTGCATCCCAGAGTTCTCCCTATCCCCTTTGCTTTTCCCCAGTGCCCTGGATATCAGCTGAGAGTCGCATTCAGACACATAGCAACTGGAGCTTTGAACGTCAGACTGGACAGCTTTTATTTTGCAGAATGCAGAAAAAAAGTCCAAATAACACAAGGAAGCTTGACAGGATTTCTGAGCAATCTAATCTTCATGTGAAACTCAGCAACTGATGGTGATTTTGTGCTGCAGGTCATCACTTCCATGCAAAAATCATTCCTGCAAGGAGAAACTGCTCCTGTGTTCTGACAGATGCTGAGCACTGCCACCAATTGCTCCAGCTGCTGCTCCCAACAGCCCCCTGCAAGAGCACAGACATCAGTGCCCGTTGGCTTTGGCTGCCCTCTGGCAGAGAAGTCCCCCAGGGGCACAGTTCTTTGGGGCAGGAGACGGGCACCACTCCTGCCAGGACTCGGGGCGGTGGCAAGTCTCCTTTGGCGAGGCCTTGCCAGAGTTGCTGATTTTGGTGCAACCCCGGCCAACGGGGTTGGAGCAGCATTGGTGCCCTTGCCCCCACATTCCTTCTGTGTGTCACAGCCCCATGTTTGGGAGGGCCACCAGCCGGGACTTCTCCCAAGGAGCCCGTGCCAGCTTCTGTGGAGGCCTCGTACCCTTTCCGCTGCGGCTGCGTCGGCAACTGAGGGGGCTCCTTCTGCTGCCGTGGGCAGGCACAGCTGGGGAGGGTTTGCTTAGTTTTTGAGCTGTGCCTAAAGTTCGTGTCCAGCTCTCTTAGATACTTTGGAGAACGGACTCCTTCTGACCTGGGGCAGGTGGCTGGGCTGGGGGAGGCCCCAGGGCATGTGGCAGTGTGTCACTGCACGGTGGGCATCGCCGATGGCATGGAACAGGCCAGGCTGTCACAGGGCCTTTGTGACACGTGTTGACATAGTACTGGTGGTGACGTGGCCATGCCTCAGTGCTCCTCGGAGCATGCGACGGGACAGACGGGATAGAGCGGTGCTGTGTGGAGCCCCCACGCAGTCAACTCCTTCCTTTCTGACCCGGAGCGTTTTGGAGGTGTTTCTGTGGTGCAGGTGTTCTCAAGGCCAGACCGCGGGACTTGGTGACGCGGAGCTTAGGCGAGGTGTCCCCAATCCCTGTGGCAAGTGCCCTTGAGGCCGCGCTGCACAACTTGATAACCCATAGTGTTTCCTAGGCTTTTCTCTCTTTTAGTTGCCCTCGAGGCCAGACCGCAGGATTGGTGATCCGGAAAATTTCCGGGGAGTCTCCAATCCCTGCGGAAGGTGGCCTCGAGGGCAGCCTGCAGGACTTGGTGACCCGGAGATCTTCCGAGGTGTCTCTCTCTTGCAGGTACCCTCAAGACCAGACTGTGGGATGGTAGGAAGACGCCTGAGCCTGCTCAGAAGAAGGAAGAAGGAAGGCCCTGGGACTACCCCAGCACAACACCCTGAGGAGGTGGAGCAGTTCCAGCCCCTGCAGGAGGGTGAGTGGCAGAGCTGGGCCACAGGGCTGGTGGCTGCAGCCAGATGGGCCTCTTCCCATCCCATCCCCTATGGACATGGCCAGGGAAAGGGAGGGGGGAAGAGGGCCTGGGGCTGACCCCCTGGCAGCTCCATGCACTGGACAGGCCAGGGCTGGCCCTGCCTGTGGAGCGCAGGGCTGGGCTGTGTTCTCCTGCCTGTCCCACAGCCCCTCATCTTTGACCATGCTCGCTCTTTGCCAGATCCAGACCAGAACCGGATACAAGAGCAGGACCGTGCCCGTGGCCACTTCCGCAGGGCCGTACAGGTGCCAGCAGCCATCCCCCCCTGGGCTGAGCCTGCTGTCAGCCTGGCACCACTATTGGAGCTCTCCATGGCACATCCCTCTTTTCCCTGCCCTTCGTTCTCCTGCAGACCTTTCTGAAATTCTTGAGCGTTCGGCGTAGAAGGTGCAGGATCACACCAATTGAGGTCATGGCGCAGCCTGACCCCACGCCGACTGAGCTCAAGGCGGGCCCTGATGATGGCACAGCAAACTGTGACACCGCAGTGACCGATCACGTGACAAACTCCAACATGGCACTGCCTGAGCTCACCATGGAGACTGATGATGCAACGACTGAGGGCATCGCAGATGCTGACAGCACACCTGTTCAGCGCCTGTCAGATGCTCCCATTCTGGATATTCTTGACGAGGGAGTTATCTCTGTGGAAGTAAGCAGCCTGTGGCTAGGGACTGTCTGGCCCCTCAGGCTGGGTCTGCTGGGCCCCCTCAGCCTTTGAGGCTCGCACAGTGTGGTAGGAAGGGAAGGACTTCTCGGGGGAAGCTGGGGAATTGCTCCCTCTGGCAGCTCTAACTGCCCCATGTCCTCTCCAGGCCAGACTGTGGGACTTGATGACCCAGAGCATTCCAAACAGTCTTCTATTGCAGACGCCTTCAAGGCACTTCTGCAGGATTTGGTGACCAGAGATTTCCATGCCATGTCTCCTGCAGGAAACCATGAAGGCAGACAGAGACATGGAGCGGAGACGCTCCAGAGTGATCAAGCTGGTCTGGGTGAAGAAAGCGGAGGAGGAAAGCCCTGGGGCTGCCCCAGCACAACACCCTGAGGAGGTGGAGCAGTTCCAGCCCCTGCAGGAGGGTGAGTGGCAGAGCTGGGCCACAGGGTTGGTGGCTGCAGCCAGATGGGCCTCTTCCCATCCCATCCCCAATGGACATGGCCAGGGAAAGGGGGGGGAAGAGGGCCTGGGGCTGATCCTCCCGCAGCTCCATGCACTGGGCATGCTGGGGCCATCCCTGCCTGTGGAGCGCAGGGCTGGGCTGTGTTCTCTGGCCTGTCTCGCAGCCCCTCAGCTCTGACCACGCTCGCTCTTTGCCAGATCCAGGCCAGAACCGGACACAAGAGCAGGACTGTGCCCGTGGCCACTTCCACAGAGCTGATCAGGTACCTGTAGCCATCGCCACCTGGGCTGGGCCTGCTGTCACTGCTCAGTCTGGCACCACTGTCAGAGCTCTCCATGGCACATCCCTCTCTTCCCTGCCCTTTGTTCTCGTGCAGAGAGTGCGGAAATCCATGGGCATTCAGCGTAGAAAGACCAGGACATCACCAACCAAGGTCATGGCACAACCTGACCCCACGCCGACTGAGCTCAAGGCAGACCCTGATGTCGGCACCGCGTCAATTGATGGCAGAGCAAACTGTGACACCGCGGTGACCGATCACGTGACAAACTCCAACACGGCACTGCCTGAGCTCACCATGGAGGCTGATGGTGCAGGGACCGAGGGCATCGCAGATGCTGACAGCATACCCGTTGAGTACCTGCCAGATGCTCCCAGCCTGGACGCTCTTGGGGAGAGAGTTGTCTCTGCTCAAGTAAGCAGCCTGTGGGTAGGGACTGTGTGGGCCCTCAAGCTGGGTCTGCTGGGCCCTCTCAGCCTTCGAGGCCACAACAGTATGGTGGGAAGGGAAGGACTCCTTGGGGGAAAGTGGACAAGTTGCTCCTTCTGGCAGCTCTCCAACTGCCCCATGTCCCCTACAAGGCCAAACTGTGGAACTTGATGACTCAGAGCATTCCCAAGGTTCCTCTATTGCAAGTACCTTCAAGGCACTTGTGCAGAACTTGGTGAGCCAGGCTTCTTCATGCCATGTCTCCTGCAGGTAGCCATGGACCCAGACAGAGACATGGAGCGGAGACCCCCCAGGGTGCCCAAGTTGGCCTGGGTGAAAAAAGGGGAGGAGGAAAGCTCTGGGGCTGCCCCAGCACTGCAGCCTAAAAAGGTGGAGCAGTTCCAGCCCCTGCAGGAGGGTGAGTGGCAGAGCTGGGCCACAGGGCTGGTGGCTGCAGCCCGATGGGCCTCTTCCTATCCCATCCCACCCTGTGGACATCTCCAAGGAAAGGAGGGGGGAAGAGGGCCAGGTGCTGATCCCCCTGCAGCTCCATGCACTGAGCATGCTGGGGCCATCCCTGCCTGTGGAGTGCAGGGCTGGGCTGTGTTCTCCTGCCTGTCCCGCA